TTTAAATCGGGAGATATTGACATTCATTGATGAATGGCTCGTGGCTCGCATCAGACGTCTGATCAAAAAGTTCACGAGTTCGAGTTAGGGGTGGTGCACCAGTTGGGGGTTGGGTATGGCATGTTGACGAGGGCTAATAATAAGCCAGAAATGACCATTCCACTCGCCCGTGTCTTTGGCGGCAATACTATCGGTCTGTCAAGGTATGTGTGCGCACACTCGCGACAGCTACTGAGGGTTATTCTGTCGACAGTACGTGCGTGTGATGACCAACAGACACAAGCACACGCACGCACGCACGCACACCGAGACTGGTTGATTATGAACAAAAAAGACGAGCAGAACAGGGCGAGACCTGCAAAATGCAAGTTCAAATGCATACAAGGCGACGGCACACAGGCACACACATAAGACTCAAAATACGAGCACATCGGTAGCCATGACCACGCTTAGTGCATGACAATCGAATGCGTAGGCCACTGCAAGCGCACACACGCACGCGACAAATGGAAATAATCTAAAAAAGGTGTTTAATCAAGTGATTGTGTCTGCTACGGCCTGCGCAAAACACCACTACATGATTAACATATTGACATATAAGATTTGGTTTGTGAGCACCGCCGCTCCCTCCCCCCTTCTGTTTTTCACTTTTACAGTTTTGGGGTTAAACATAAGTCCAGGCCCCACCTGCACGACTTCCAGTTCCACTTGATTACGTACGCGCTGGAAGTAGGCGATGAGTTTGCGCATCCGACTGTTGAGATCAACGATGGCCGGAAAGAGGAGAAGGGGCTGCGGCAACTCTGTTGGCGGCCGCTGCTCCAGGCTACCCTCGTCATCCACCACCAAAGCGGGATCAGCCGGCTTTTCGGGGAGCGGCGAAGATGCCTCGGTCTCCTTGCTGGCGGAGGTGTTTTGGTGGTGGTTGTCATCGGAGGGCGAGTCAGCGGAGGAAAGGGGCGCATCTGTTTCCGCTCCAGGCTGCGACTCCTCTACCGACTCGGTGGTTGTGGTTGTATCCACAGGAATTTGTTTCTGTGCCTCTAGGGCCGGTGGACCGCCATCAGCGAAAGGAGAG